ACATAAACACTGACACTTTTGTCCATACTGGTTGAATTTCTAAATTCTAAAGGCAGCTCTTTGAGGAGTGGTCTGTGCCAAGGGATGTGTGAACTGCTCCTCACCTTGCTGGTCATGGTTAAGCCCTGCTGAATTAAGAATATCACAATAGGTTTGTCCTTAAGTTTCTGAAGTAATTTCACTCAAAGTGAACAATGAAGATAAATTAATACCAATGTTCAGTTTAAATAATTAGTAAATTTAGATTTACTACCAATTTATTCAGTTTGTACATGCACATGACACATTTCCTTTGTTGACTGGGCAGTCTTATTCAAGATCTGAAAATACACATATTTTTACCTTTCCTTTTATGATCTAGACTCTGTAATTTGCATTACAAGTTGTTAAACATTATTATAATGACAACACTAAAACCTAGATTGTGCTATGCTTTAAATTCTATTGAAATTAAAGCTATACTGAATTAAATTTTAATTTACACTTAAAAAAATATTAGTTTCAACAAACACCCTTCTTGTTTTGGAAGCTACAACAAAAAATTATACTTAAGGATATATACAGTAACTGAAATTACCTATCATTTGTTTTACTGGGACTTAAGACAAAACACAGAACAAACTCAAACCAACCTGTTTCAGATCTACTCAAGAGTTCTTTTTGCTTTACTACATGTTTTCTCTTAGTTTATAACCAGAGTTAATTAGTAACTTGTTGTATACCTTTATCTTGCAAAATCTGAGAGTGCATATGAAAGCTTTATTCAGTGAAGCTCTAAACCAGTGAAGCGAGTTCTGTGCATCAATCAGTTACATTTTCAAATATTTCACTGTCAGAAAAAGTTGTTTCAGCATTATTTTTTGTAGTTGTATGCTAAGAAAGACTATTACAACATGCATTGAAGAGAGAAAACAGAATATGACTTATAGTTAGAATTATTTTTCAAATGCTGTGATTCTATGTTGTGTATCAGAGACCCTGTATCAAAAATATCTTTTGAATTTTTTCTGTTGCAATTCTATGTCCTGTATCATTTTTATTTGCAAAGACTTACTTTATCAGTTTCATGGTTGTTTCACCACAATACAATTTATTAAGGCTGAAATTGGTATAAAGGCAAATATACAAGAAAAGACTTTGGAATCAGAATACATTGTTTTCTTCACCTTGTTTAAATAATAGTAAAAATTTGCCCAAAATAAGCATCTTTAAAGTCCGTTAAAATATTTATATATATGTGCTGCTAAAACAACATATTCTTCATCAGCGAAAATCTGTTTGAGATCTGTTGACAAAAAAAAGGTTTACATTAATAAAATACCTTTAGAGGAAAATCTTGCATGAATTACCAAAACCTTTGCTGCTCAGCTGCTAAAAAAAGAGCTTAATTTTAAAATAATGAATGAGTAAATATGGGTATTAATTTTGGCCTCAGAAAATCCTTTTATCCATCAGATTTTTGCGTATCACTGAAAGTATGTAAGGAATCAGATTATTGTTTTCATCCTTGGCCAAGTACTGCAATCATAAAAAAAATGCATTGAAGAACTGTTGCATTTTTAGAAAAACTATCTATGGTAAAAAGTAGCATCTCTAAGTGTAACATTTAATTTTCATTATTCAGCAAAGATGGGCAGAATGGGAAAGTCATGCTTCAAAGAACATTACAGTTGTTAGAAGCAGGTAATATTAAATTTTTAAGCACATCAAAGTTCTTCTCAGAGCTCACTAAAAGCATTTGATGAGGTTCTTTCAATGCTCACCTCAGACTGCCATTTCTCCTTCCCTAGCCTCAGAAGCTGTAATTAAAAATAATGCGATTATAATTCCATGTCACCACTCAGTTTTGGTTTATTTTTAAATAAATAAATTGTATAGTTACTGTAGTAAATATACAAAATTACTACACTTTGCTGTTTGTTTCTGCCACTCTGATCATTCTACTGATTTTCAATAATTTTCAGGCAGCAGCCAAGCCCCACACAGCCACCCGCTCACTGTGCATCACAAACACTGGGATCAGGGAGAAAATCAGAAAGGTGAAAGCCAGAAAAGTCATGGGTTGAGATAAAGACATTTAACAGGGAAAGCAAAAGCTGTGCACACAAGCAAAGCAAAACAAGGAATTAATTCATTGCTGCCCATGGGCAGGCAGGTGTTCAGCCATCCCTGGGACAGTTGGGCCTCATCACATCTAACAATTACTTGGGAACACAAACACCACCACCCCAAATGTCTCCCCTTCCTCCTTCCTCTCCACTTTATATACAGAGCATGATGTGATGTCCCACAGTCTGGAATATCCCTTTTGTCAGCTCGGGTCACCTGTCCTGGCTGTGTCTTCTCCCAGCCTCTAATGTACCCCCAGCCTCACCAGCATTACAGTATAAAAAGCAGAAAAGACCTTGGCTCTGTATAAGCTCTGCTCAGCAATAACAAAAACATGTCTATATTATCAATCCTGTGTTCAGCACAAGTAGAAAATACAGCTCCATACCAGTCACCATGAAGAAAATTAACTCTACCACAGCTGAAACCTGCACAGTGACTGGCAATATCACTTTTCTTGGAAATATGCCGTATCAGACAGTGACCAGAGTATATCCAACAAGTATCATACTGAAAGTCATATGAAGAGTCTAATTTGGACAGAAATTTTTTACATGCATTGCAGCTCTACATTCCAAGCATGTTTGGAAATTATGCCAAATGCAAGAGCTCAAATATACTCACCCCAAACTAATCTAGGTCTCAATAACATTAAGGAGACAATTTAGAATTCTGGATGTTTCACACATGACCTAATTGGACAGACTATGTCTTTGCTCCTTTCACCACAGTACTTTCCATTTCTCTTAGTCTCTGTCTTTTCTTGTCATTGTGAAATAAAAAGGAACATTTCCCAGATCAGTGGTAGGTACTGCAGAGAAACAAGGATTTATTAGACCAAATGAACAGGAATACTAAAATGGAATAGAAGGAACATCATTATTAGGGCACAATAAAAATAGGAAGTTTAGTCGTAATAATGAAGTGGAATAGAATGTCTAGTCATAATATACTACTGTTTTTACTGACACCATAAAGATTCAGCCTGCATGAAGAGCTCTTCCTTATATTCTTGTGCTATTTATACTGATTTATGGTATAATCCTAAAGTATAGAACATCCACCATAGCATCTTTGAAACCTAAGCTCCTCCTAAATAGAGTCAAACTCAATCTTTGTTCCCAAGTAGATGAATTTAATGCAGCTTTTTGTCAGTAAATTGGGGAAATCTCAAAAGTGAGATTGCTAAGTGCATAATGGAGGCCTACAGGGAATTTTCTATGAAATTTACAGTGATTTTTCACAGACTTCAATGTGTCACTGACCTTTGTCTCCTTCATCAGCCTCTGAGTTGCATGTACTGTTGCATGGCTTTACTTTATGGTTTGCTGAGATAAAGCTTTAGAAGTCTGGAATTCTTTAACCTGAAAGGTGGTACCCTCTGCACTCAAAAAGACAATGCCATCTGACCACGTGACATTATTTCCTGAATCTGACACTTCAGTGACTCAGTCATGTCTATAAGAATCTCAATTCCCTCATTTATCAATAAAAATGGAAATATTTGGCTATTTTACCAGGAATACTTAGTGGCATTTATTTGCTGTGAAAATACTTGCAGAATCACTGCTAATCGAGTTAATAAAAAATTAGGGATTCATGCTTGTTGTCCCAGTTGAAACCTTTGCAATTTTGTTTCTGATTTTATTGTTATTGCTGATCACATGAAGCTACAAGGCAAAAGAAATTCAAAGAGGTTTTTTTTTGCAACAAAAGACTTTCAACATCTATGGTGTCACTAATTTTCTTTTGTCAATCCAGCAATTGGGGCTCTTGTTCTCCTTAGTTAATGGACACACCATTCCAAATGGTTTTGTCTTCATTATCAGCCACAAGAAAAAATTCAAATAAAATCAAAATCCTTCATAGGAGTGTTACTACAATAACTTACAAACATGAATACCAACAGCACACTCATAAAACCCTACTTCTGTCTTGTCCGGCAGTCACCTCAATCTTATACTACCCATTTCTTTGGGTATTATGTTTTCTCCCTTCAAAAGAAACTCATTGTTTCATGCCCCATCACAGGCACATTTGCTTTTAGAGGCTAATTGCCATTATTTATGTGATTAGTGCTGTCCCATGAACTTGCAGGGAGAATGACTGCTGCTCTCCCTCTCCCCCTTTGTCTAAGTCAGTAGATCACCAAGGGACTGCTGAGCTCTTAGATCCTCTAACATCCTAGGTGACACAGGAGACAAAAAAAGGCATGGAAAACTTTTGCAGTCAGCACAACCATTTACTGGTTTGTGTTTTTTTTTGTTTTGGAGGTTTTGTGGGTTTGTTGGTTGGTTGGCTAGTTGAGATCTTTTAATGGAAACATGCTATGTTGGACAGTTTGAGCCTATGGATGTATGTTATGATGAAATAAGTGCTTTTCTCCAGTCATCCTTTCACAGTTTCAGTATGTAAGAATATGTAGATCTAGACCAGTAACTACACAGAATCAACACTGGTTTATTTGTGTACCAAACACACACCATTGTGCTCTTCTAGCACTGATTTTGTTTGTGAGAAAACTGGCAAAGTAATACTAGCTTTCTTGCTATTGATTTCCTGTCTTCTATAGTTAATGCTTTTAGTCAAACATTCAAATTGGCAGACACTAGAAATGAAGGCTGACATGTTTTTGTACTCTGAAAATTACTCCTCGACTCAATGTGTGAAGGCAAGAAGAGAAGATCTGGTACATGTAGCACTTTGGTGACTATCCTTTCTCAAGAACACCCACAATAACATTATATGCATTGTGTCACACGTGACACTGTTAAACCAAATCTCAAAGGAGACAGAGCAACTGTTCAACCCTTCATATCAGGTCATCTGTACACTTGATCTTCTCAATCCTACTTGCAGCAAATTTACAGGAAAGAAAAATACCTTTCAAATTTCATTCCACCAGTGGGTCATATTTTATTGCAATATTTTGGAAGAGATTATTAACAAGCTGTGCACTGTAATGAACAGTTGGTTTTGTATGTTTAGAAAGAACAAGCTGTAACAGTAACCACAGTGTGAAAACAGAGCTTACTTGGCCTCATCTACAAAGGAAAACCAATTTAATACAAACTGCTGAGAAATAGGTTCCTGCAAGTCAAAAAACCAGGTTCAATAGTCTGAATTCTCGTTTGAGTATGATAAGCCATTGCTGATTAATGAATGTGCCTCTTGCATGACACTGGTTCAGAAGAATAGTAAATTTGCAATTTTGAATGTTTGTACAATTCTACTTATGTGTACTAATTTGAAAAGTTTGACAACAGTGATATACCAAAAAAACTGAAATCCAACACAAACCTATGGATAGAAAGACTTTTTCTCTCAATTTTCAGTTAGAATTCCTAGGATTTCCCCACCAAAGGCATATACTTTTGGAAAAGGTGTAGGCATATAGTCCTATGAACTTCATATTGATGCTCATGATGAATACAGATGCGCTGTATTTTCCTATCCCTAACTTTTCCATAGGGATAAGCTGTTCAGTTTTTAAAAGAGACACTTGCAAAATCTAAGCCTCTACTTTACTTGTCAGGTATCATTAAATGTGTGTCAGTCCTATGACTAGAAATAGTGGTGTATCCCATATTTAATGTGTATGGAAGCACAGGGCACTGGGACTGGTGTAGAGCAGGAAAGGCTGTGCATTCTGCAACATGACTGCATGTTTGTGCCAAGATCTCACCAAAATATTCTTTCATCCTCCCACACTTTCATAATTCACAGACCGTGGCAAAAGCAAGCCATGGGCTGCCAGGACCCCTCATGTTGCCTGCAGTTTGCTACCTGCCTGCACCTGGAGAGCAAGTAGGGAGCAAAAAGCTCCTATTTTTATCATCTTGAAATGGCAGAACAGGCACCCAAACACTGGAAGAGTAAATGGTATATCCGAATATGTAAGATTTATTATATCCTTGGATTTTTTTCTTGTCTCTAAAAAGTACTGACTTGCTGTTATTCTTAATGTGACAAAATGACTACAGAAGTTCATGTAGCTGCTGTAGGCAAACCAATATATAACATGCAGAACTTTGCTATAGGTAGCAGACATGATACAGCCTGATGAGGTTAACTTCTGCAGCTGCATTAGCAATAGCAGAACCTGAAGACATGCATTTGGCTTGGATCTGGCATTACAGCAAAGAGCAGGAGGCTACCTGAGAAAGAATGAAAACATGGTAAAAACGTGATATAAATTATTGAATCAAAGGCATAGACACTACAGAACAAGATGTCATGTAAGTTGTGTCAAACAGTAGCTTGGTGGTTAGGGCACTGCAAGGACAGAGGCCACTCACTTATTAGTTAAAAAACAAAATGCCTCAATGCTTATCTGGGCTCTGAGATTTTTAAGGACAAAAAGTTCCAAGTGCTGTACTGGCAGTTTTTATGTATTGTGTCTCTCCTCATATTTCTAATCAAGTTTTCACTCCTTGTTTCCATGGACTGGATACATCACACAGCCTGGTACCAAAGAGCATGGAATATTTTGAGTTGGAAGGGACCCACAAGGATCATCGAAGTCCAACTCCTGGCCCTGCACAAGACATGCCAAGAGACACACCGTGTGCCTGACAGCGTTGTCCAAACGCTTCTTGAGCTCTGTCAGGTTGGTGCTGTGACCACCTCCCTGGGAAACCTGTTCCAGTGCCCAACCACCCCCTGGGTGAAGAATCTTTTTAATATTATTTTCCTTTTAATATCAAGCCTAAACCTTCCTTGACACAGCATCATGGAGACGCATTTCCAGCTTCCTCCAGGAACACCTTTCCTTATCACTCCATCTCCACCCTTCACTTACCGAAGGCACTTCCCACCCTGCAGAGGCGGCGTGTGCGCAACACCCCGGGAAGGACACGCACCGGAGTGCGGCAGGAGCCGAGGCGGGCAGGGACACCGCCGAGGCGGGCAGGGACACCGCCGGGGCGGGCAGGGACACCGCCG